AAAATATTTTCCAGGTTTCCAAAGCTGGTTCTGTGAAGGTTGAGAAGTTTATGGAAGTGGAGAGATACTCCCATGTCATGCACATCAGCTCCACTGTATCTATTAGAGTAAAAAAAAAAACCTTTTTTTTTCTTTTTTTTTCTGCCAGTTGCAAGACAGCTTAACTTCGTGGGACACTCTTCGTGCCGCTTTGCCAGTGGAACGGTCGGTGGAGCTCCAAAGGTAAGCATTGCTGACCATATGTCATTACTATTATCAAATTCTCAATATCATCCAGGTAAAAGCCTTGCAAATAATGGACAGGCACACGGTGAGGCCCGTACAGTGGTGGAATTGGAGGGATCGTATTCAATGGTGGCATGGATATTGCTCTTGCACTTAGGACGATGGTATTCCCAACATCATCATCATCACAAAGTGCCACTAAGTGCGACATGAATGGTCAGTTCATCTCCAATCTGGAGCCGGCGCAGTGGCAAACTCGGACCCAGTATATTGAAATAGTGAATAAAGCGGCTGGTTTGGGACGGGCCATTGATCTTGTTGAAGCAGCTTTTGATGAATCCAAGCAAGTGACAAGAGTTGCAGCTTCTTCCAATTTTACTGTAAGCTGCTTTCTTTCTCGTTTTCCTTTTTAATTTTTCTTTTTTCTGACTAATGCTGATTTAAATTTGACTGTTCATTCTAAATGAACCATCGAGCGCATTGCAGAGAGGGCAACTCCTGTGGGAGATGCCTGTCAGCCAGCTGAAATTGAAATCAAACCCTCAAAAGTTCCAAGTTCCTGTGAAAAACCATGACGTTTATGATGTTGGATATATATATATATATATATTCTGCCATCGAGCAGCTGCTTCAATTCAATTATTGAACAGAAGGGGACATACCTGATTTAAGAAAGAGCCGCACTCCCAGATTTCATCTTCCTGATCCTGTTCTTCCTGAAAGCGGTGGCGCTGACAGGTTAAGAAAAAAAAACAAATATACATCAAAGACTTGGATTAGATTCCTGGGTCAGAAGCAAAAAATGGTATAACAAAATGCAACTTGCTCAGGTTCATCAATCGTCAATTATGTACATTGTTGATTCATACATTCATGAGCGGTCATAGCCTGTTCCCTTTTCCTACTTATTTCTCCCTAGCAAAACTCCACACAGCTTGAAAGAGGGCGGAGAGAAAATGAGAAAATATCGTATATTCTCATAACCGAGGGAAAGGTATATAACCCGAATATACCCTAAATCATGAGACCGCAAAGCCAATTAGATTCGTTTCTCAAGTGGGAAGCTATCAACACAGCTTTATTGATGTGTAAAACTCCCGGTTCCCCAGTATCCTCTGCAACTAAGAAAAGAAAAAGAAGGAAGAATTAGCAAGAATTAACAACGAAAAGAATTGAATAAGATCTACCTGAGCCTTAAGCAACACCTCCTCATAGCCCCGTGCCTGCTTCTTTGCGCATCACAACACTGTGAGAGCATATTTGTCCTCAACGTTCACATCTTTGGCATTGTCCACAAGCACTTTGAAAGTGCCTAGGGGTACCATGGAATGGACCGCTTCAATGAGTGGAACCCGACCTGCAGAATCTGCCTCGCATGGGTCTGCTCCCGCCTGCAGCAAAGCTCGCACCAGTTCATCATCCTTCACATCCAAAGCCTTGTTGAAATTCTCAACGCATATCGGACCTGTTGAAGGAACCTGCTGCAGTACCGGGCCATGGGCAACCAAAACCGGCCAAAAGCCGCGAGCATCTAAAAGGAAAAGAAACGAAAACAAAACAATATCAATCAGAAGCACACCTTTTAAATCTTTGTCTGCACCTTCATCAAGAAGCCACCCGATCATGTTACCGTTTCTCACCCTGCAAGCTTCCACCTAAAGAACAAAACTGAGCGTGCGTTCAGCGTGCAAACATATGACAACTTACCAAGGCCACATGTAAACTTCTTCACGTCGTCAAGGTTGTCAGCACAAGCAGCATCACAGAGCAGTTGAAGAATCTCATCGTCAAACAGGCCTGTGTAGGTCCCCATGCTGCAACAGAGATCAGTCACGCGAGTTGATGACTGACAAAACATGATTTACCTCGAATTTGGTAAGGGTGAAGCAAAAGTAAACCCGACAACCAGGAAGACCAGGACCAAGGTCCACGTACTCCGGCTTGTTCAAGAGCTCATGCTCCACCTTTCCACCTATCAGTTTGAAGGTGTGAACCTCATCAAACTTCTTCGCGTGCTTGACCGAGTCATCAGCTAGAAGAATTACAGTCTCGGTGCAATGGTCGGAGGTGATGTACTCTCTGCATGTCTTCATCGTTGTCGGCAGATCATCTGAGGCACCCAGAAGCTCAACGACTACTGCAGCGTTGGGCGGAAGAATTTTGCCGGCGACGTTCGGCCTGTCAAGGATGACAAAGCAATCCGGCGGCAAGCCGTTTAGAGGACTTCGCTGCTACTGAGCGAAAGAATGTCAAGTCAGGGTCTGAGAATGGCGCGAGTTTCAACATGTTGGGCGTGGAGTAAAGCCTTCGGATCTGCAATGGGCGCTTCTCCTTTTGCAGCCGAAGTGATTGCTCGTGGATTAGGGCCTGTTAGGGTTCTAAGGGCGCGAGAACAAGGCGGCGGTGCAAGTAGTTCAAGGGGTGCAAGGGTTGCAGCAGCCAGGAACTCTTTAGTTCCCTTCTTCTCCTCTCTTCCCTCTTCACCAAAAAACAAAATGGAGAAAATGGAAAAACAATGGAAGAGGAGAATCGGAATGGAAAATGTGATCGGAGTGTGGAGCTCAAGACTGATGTTGAACGATTCGAGAAATCCCTTGGGCCTGGATCCCCTTATGTATCTAGACGGGCGTTTGGGGAGACGACTCATCATGGTTGATGATGTGGCAGTTGACTCATCTCTCGTCAGTGACAATGGCTTCTTCTGAAGGAATGGAAGTTGATCCCTCCAAAGCTCTTTGGTTGGCTTCAGCAAAAGCTTCATCAACAGACTTCTTGTTCCTCTCTTGGTTAGCCTTGCTAGCCCTGAAGAAAGCAACATCTTGCTAGAAACACTTTCCAAAAGAAATTCCCACAAGAGAAAGCAATATGCCCCAACCTGGTATCAAATAAGGAAAGAGCAGCATCAGGAGAGATTAATTGCTGGTAGTGCACGACTTCCTCTTGTCTTGCTGCGATCATGATTCTGGTCACCTCAAAAAGATGCTTGTGATGAAGATTAGCAATCTTGGCATTGCAAGCTTTTTGGATCTTATCCTTCAACACAGCCTTAGGAGTCTTGATACAAAGACATTCAACAAAAGTCTCTAACATTGCAAAAAGGAGTGCAATTAAGACATTTATCCTCCTCTTTGTCATTGGCCTCTTGGCCAACAAGTGCCATGCTCAAGATCAAAGAGTTAATTGCTCTGATACCATGAAAGCAACAGAGACATGTGCACATGGGGAAGAATAACTCTCTATATATCACTGTATATGAATGGGGACATAGATATAGAAATTACTGCCACGTGGGCATAACTATACATGCCATATCAGCTCTACCTCCATCTGCCACTATCTTGGCATAATGAGCATTGCCATGAGTCTTGAGGATTGCACCAAAGTTGTCCTGAGTGTGCACCACAAGAGAATTCCTGTGAATGTGATCTCGTCTGGAAAAAGGAGAGGGCGATGGAGTTGCCACTGAGACTTTTGAAATCTTCCTGTGTCCTTTCCCCTTGAGTTGGACATGGTGAAAATTGCGTGGCAGCATGTTACTGCTGATAGAAGCATCGCCCTTGGACAGAGAGTTTCTCTCTCAAACATAGATTCTACTTCCTCGAGGGAGGCATTAAACCACCATTCATTTAGAATGGTGTTGCAAGTTTTTCTCTGTCAGTGCTGTGGCCAATAAGTTGATTTGTATGTTATGTACATCCTAGAAGAGAACTCAACCAAGCGAAGCTCGCTTCCAAGAAGAAAGAAAAAAAAAACAAGAAATTAGCAAAAGCCTACTGTGGTTGCACGCCATGACTGTGCTCTCCCGCGTCAGTTGTTGGATCGTCCAGGCACCGCTCTACGTGCTTTCTCGCGGGACAGCCTCTCAAGCTGCTGCATTTGTAGTAGCCCCTGCAAGAAGACCCAAGCTTGTTTATACTTGTTCTTCACTAAAGAAAAAGAGAAAACGAGAGAATTTTGTCATCTAAGAGCTTACCTTGGATGCGGAGAGCCTTTGATCGGCTTCTGACCATATTTTCTCTCGTCTTGGGGAATGTCAGCGATTTTGTTGCTGACGGCAGGCACGTTGATCACTCGCTTGACTCACTTTCTGGAAGCAAGAGCAAGAGATGAGCGTGCCACAACCTAAAAACATTTTTTTCTACGAAAGAGAGTGAACTTTTTACTGACCTGGTGCGCTTGAAGCAATGGCACTTGCCAACGCTTCAACACTTGTCGAGAATGCTCGCGGCCGAGCATTTCTCCACGAGGAACCGGCTTGAAAATGGTCCCATTGGTGACGCTGTTCTCCAAAAGCCCGCCGTTTGTGGCGCTCCCCGGGGACGAGATGAACGATCTGGACGACGAAGGTGGCGGGCTGGAGCTCATGGAATTATCGGAGCTGAAGCACATCGATCCAAGAGCGAGCTCCGTCCCAGCTGCTGGCTCTTCTTTGGCGAGTTTCTGAATGCTCGCCGGCTGCTCGTCCTTGGAGGAGTGATTCACCAGGAAACCGAGGTTGTGTTGGCCCTTTCCTGAGACGAGCGTGCCCAGTCCGACACAAGAGCGAATTCACCCTTTTGAACTGCAACATTGCCGAGGACGCTGCGAGGGTGTAACACCGGAGGCTTGTCTCTGGATAGAATGTCGATCAATCGATGGACGTTCTCCATGCCAGCTTTTGCCGCTCCTTGGACATAGTGATCCCTGGTATGGCTATGGCTGCCGCCACACATGCACCGGTCCGTTTAGGGCACCACCCATTTTTTTTGTTTATTTTTCTGTTCTTATTTTTTATAATTTAGGGTCTGGGCGATGGACACGGCCATGCTCCAGCTGTGGAGGATGCTCCTCCTCGCCGCGCTAGCGGCGCTCCAAGCCCTGGCCTGGGAATTGGAGAGGAGCAGCGGCGGCGGCGATCGGGCGGAGCCGGCATCGTTCTACTTCACGGATTTCGAGGATAATCTCCAGGATCTCAGCTTGCTCGGCGACGCCAAGTTCGTGCGAATCGAGGGCCAGGCGGATGGAATGGCGGTGCAGCTCTCCGGCACGCGCCAGAACACCGTAGGTAGGCTGCTCTACAGTATCCCTGTCAACATGCTCGATCTATCCAACAATCCGGCCTCCTTCTCCACATTCTTCGAGTTCTCCATGGCCGCCTTCGCCGGCGATGGCCTCGCGTTCGTCATCGTCCCCGACAAGATCTCCATCGGCGCCAGCGGCCCCTGGCTGGGATTGGTGAAAGAGGACGAGATCTCCAACCGGACGGCTATGGCGCCTCACACATTCGCGGTGGAGTTTGACAGCGTCATGAACATGGAACTCCGGGATCCAAACAGCAACCACGTCGGCCTGGATGTGGAAACCATCGTCTCCACCGTCACTGCCAATGCCTCCGACATTGGATTGATCCTCAACGATGGCTCCAGGACCTTCGCGTGGATCCAGTTCGATGGATCGAGCAGCGAGCTAGACGTGAGGATCAGCAAGGATAGGAACTCCAGGCCGACGAAGCCGCTGCTCTCGCACAAGCTAGATCTCAAATCAGTGCTCCGGCCGTGGATGTACGTGGGTTTTAGCTCCTCCACCGGCGAGGCCTCGCAGAAGCACAAGGTGTTCTCCTGGAAGTTCTCCAGCGGCGGAAGTTCTTCCCCGAGTTCTTCAAGCCGGAGGAGGTGGCGAAATGAGATACTCCTACAGGGGATTCACTCGCTCCCGGCGAATCCATTATCCCCCTCGGTCGCAAAAGAGGGAGAGGACGGATCATCAGAAGCCCCCCAGGTTTTGGATGATCACACTAGCAGCTTGGTGATTTTGGTGGTGGGATTTACGTGTGGAGCGAGCGTTACGTTGTTTTTGCTTGCTGGTTGGGCTTTGATGCGTTCCAGATTTGATCACGATGCATATCAGGAGATCAATTAACAGGCAACCTCAGCAATCTACTATGCAAGAAAGTCAATGTAGAGGTAAAGTCACATAGAGGTATGCTCTGCCTTATATATATATTCTTGTGTGGGATGGTTCTTTTTCTTCTTCTTCCAAGTTTTGTTCGTTTTCTTCTTCTTTTTTTTTTTCCTTTTTTCCTATATTCTTTTCCTAGCCGGTTACCAAGTCAGTATAATAGTTTTAATTCTTTTTAGAGGAGGCAAAAAGAAGGATTTTTACTCTCTTTTTTTCTATTTTCGAAGATCTTTTCTCTTGGCGTGTTTTTTCAAGCTAGAAGGCTCTGTAAATTATATCTACAATATAAGAATGTCCGTACTATTATGAATTGGTTCCGCATTTTCTCCGTACTTGTCGTTCGAACGAATCTGATTTTAGCATATGCTAGCATATACGCTTTTCGTGACCTAAAAAAGACGCTTTCGATCTGACGGTGGCCATGCATCCAACGGTTGTGAGCCGCTCCAGCGAGGATTTACATTGTGCGGCGCGCTCCAGTGCGTAGGGTTTCTTGGCGGTCGTAGGCGGCGGCGGCAGAGGCTAGGCGGCCGGATTTTCCTCTCCTTAGCAGCGCGAGCGATCTCAATCGCCTGCCAAGATGGTGAGTGATTCCTCTGGAATTCGTAGCGGATTCTGACATCGTGATGCTCTTTCCAGGTGAAATTCACGGCAGAAGAGCTGCGCCGGATCATGGACAAGAAGCACAACATCCGGAACATGTCTGTGATTGCTCATGTCGATCACGGTGAGTTTCTTCTAGATTTTCCATCCATTCAGTAGCTAAAGCTCGTCGATCTGAAATTTTCGCCAGGAAAATCCACCCTGACGGATTCCCTGGTTGCGGCCGCTGGGATTATCGCCCAGGAGGTGGCTGGAGACGTCCGGATGACCGATACACGCCAAGATGAGGCCGAGCGTGGAATCACTATCAAGTCGACTGGAATTTCCCTCTACTACGAGATGAGCGAGGAGTCTTTGAAAGCTTTCAAGGGGGAGCGAGATGGCTACGAGTACCTGATCAATTTGATCGACTCTCCAGGGCACGTCGACTTTTCATCCGAGGTCACAGCTGCTTTGCGAATCACTGACGGTGCTCTGGTGGTGGTGGACTGTGTGGAGGGTGTCTGCGTCCAGACAGAGACTGTTCTTCGGCAGGCACTGGGAGAGAGGATCAGGCCGGTTTTGACAGTGAACAAGATGGACAGGTGTTTCCTCGAGCTCCAAGTCGATGGCGAGGAAGCTTACCAGACTTTTCAGCGCGTTATCGAGAACGCCAACGTTATCATGGCTACTTACGAGGACGCGCTCCTCGGCGACGTCCAGGTCTACCCAGAGAAGGGGACGGTGGCGTTTTCGGCTGGTCTCCACGGCTGGGCCTTCACCCTGACCAACTTCGCCAAGATGTACGCGTCCAAGTTCAACGTGGACGAGAAGAAGATGATGGAGAGGCTTTGGGGAGAGAACTTCTTTGATCCGGCGACGAAGAAGTGGACGTCGAAGAACACTGGCTCCCCCACCTGCGTCCGTGGCTTCGTGCAGTTCATCTACAATCCCATCAAGCAGATCATCGCCATCTGTATGAACGATCAGAAGGACAAGCTGTGGCCCATGCTCCAGAAGCTCAACGTTACGCTGAAGAACGAGGACAAGGAGCTTGTTGGCAAGCCGCTCATGAAGCGTGTCATGCAGACGTGGCTGCCCGCTAGCGACGCGCTCCTGGAAATGATGGTGTATCATCTGCCATCTCCAGCCAAGGCCCAGAGGTACCGTGTGGAGAACCTCTACGAGGGACCCCTGGACGACAAGTACGCTGCTGCCATCAGGAACTGCGATCCCGAAGGACCCCTGATGCTCTACGTTTCCAAGATGATTCCGGCTTCGGACAAGGGCAGGTTCTTTGCTTTCGGACGAGTCTTCGCGGGCAAGGTGTCCACGGGCTTGAAGGTTCGCATCATGGGACCGAACTACATTCCCGGGCAGAAGAAGGATCTGTACGTGAAGAGCGTACAGAGGACAGTTATCTGGATGGGCAAGAAGCAGGAGTCCGTGGAGGATGTTCCCTGTGGTAACACGGTGGCCATGGTTGGGCTGGACCAGTTCATCACCAAGAATGCGACCCTGACCAACGACACGGAGAGCGACGCTCATCCCATCCGGGCCATGAAGTTCTCCGTCTCCCCGGTTGTCCGCGTTGCCGTCCAGTGCAAGGTGGCGTCCGACTTGCCGAAGCTGGTGGAGGGTCTCAAGCGGCTGGCCAAGTCGGACCCCATGGTGGTGTGCACGATGGCAGAGTCTGGCGAGCACATCATCGCCGGAGCTGGCGAGCTCCACCTGGAGATTTGCCTCAAGGATCTCCAGGACGACTTCATGGGTGGCGCCGAGATCAAGGTGTCGGACCCGGTGGTGTCTTTCCGGGAGACGGTGCTGGAGAGGTCCCGGCAGGTGATGAGCAAGTCGCCCAACAAGCACAACCGGCTCTACTTCGAGGCCCGGCCGCTGGAGGACGGCCTGGCGGAGGCTATCGACGACGGCAAGGTCGGGCCACGCGACGACCCCAAAGTTCGCTCCAAGATCCTGGCGGAGGAATTCGGGTGGGACAAGGACCTGGCGAAGAAGATCTGGTGCTTTGGTCCCGAGACCAACGGACCCAACCTGGTGGTGGACATGTGTAAGGGAGTCCAGTACCTGAACGAGATCAAGGACTCGGTGGTGGCGGCGTTCCAGTGGGCTTCCAAGGAGGGCGCGGTCGCGGAGGAGAACATGAGAGGCATCGCGTTCGAGGTTTGCGACGTGGTGCTCCACACGGACGCGATCCACAGGGGCGGCGGGCAGATCATCCCGACGGCCAGGAGGGTGATGTATGCGTCGCAGCTGTGCGGCAAGCCGAGGCTGCTGGAGCCAGTCTACCTGGTGGAGATCCAGGCGCCGGAGCAAGCGCTGGGAGGGATCTATGGAGTGCTCAACCAGAAGCGTGGGCACGTAACGGAGGAGGTCCAGAGGCCCGGGACGCCGCTCTACAACGTGAAGGCGTTCTTGCCGGTTATCGAGAGCTTTGGGTTCTCGACGGAGCTGCGAGCGGCCACGTCCGGGCAGGCGTTCCCGCAGTGCGTGTTTGATCACTGGGATATGTTGAGCAGTGATCCCATGGATCCGGGGACGCAGGCCGGGGTGATTGCGGCACAGATCAGGAAGAGGAAGGGGCTCAAGGATACCATCACGCCGCTCAGCGAGTACGAGGACAAGCTATAAGAAACTATCGGGGAGAGAGAGAGAACACAAGTTTTTATATGCTACTTTTACTTTTTCTTTTTTTGGTTTGTTTTTTGTTTTAATTTATTTTTCTGAAAACAATTCAGAATAGTTAAATATGAGAATATTTAACTGATATATTGTATTAAACAGAAGAGGGTTTGAAAAGTCTTAAACCATAAGATTCTAACAGAGCCCAGTTTGATTCTCGTGGTTAATGAGAGACAAGCAAGGAGAACCAAAGTTTGATAAATTTGGTTAGGTGGACTAAGTATGATTACAGATGAGAAAAGGATTGTTAGGCACCATAGAATTTAAAAGAGTTTAGAAAGAGCCTTACAATCCCTTTTCAGTTGGGTTAGGGTGTAAGGGATAAATCAATGTAATTATTTATAATTCATAATCGGAGAACACATCGAATTAGGGTTTAGGGTTTTATGATGGAGAAGCAGAAGAGGTACGGCATGAAGAGGAGGTCGCCCTGCTGCGGCTCCGTTTCCGTAAGTCTTGAAGATGCCAAGGCTGGGATCAACAAGATGAAGGCTCTGAAGTGGGAGGATCTGCTTGTGGTTGGCAAAGTAACTTCCCTGCCCTATCCAGGGATGGGCAATCCACCTTCCAGGCCAGGAGGACCCTTTGACTTTGTCGGCATGGCTGATCTGCAGGAGGTACTCGACTGCTTGACGGATCTTGGTGCTGGGAAGGCGCTTCTCGTGGAGGGTCCAAGAGGCATCGGCAAAAGCTGCATTCTCATGGCGTTGGCGTGGATTCACATCGTGCAAGCAAATGATCATCAGAAGGTGCTGTGCATCTGGGCAATGGAGGCCGCCCTCCGCGTGGGCAGTCTGGTGGATGTTGTCAAAGACGGCCTGCGTTTCGCATACTGCTTTCAGGACAGCGTGCTGGCGGAGATCGAGAGCCTCCGTTCCATGGCAGGGATCGTGGAGTTCATCCGAAGCCGCAAGTTGAAGGGGGACATTTTCTCTTTGATAGTTGACGGAGCCGAATACATGGATGCCCAGGATCTCACCGGGGCTGCGAAGGTGGAAAGGCAGGAACTGAGAAACAGCGTGAATAGTCTTGCGAACGAGGCTTTTAAGCGTGTGTACGGGGCCCCCATTGTACCGTGGAACAAGATGCACCCTGAGATGTCAGTAGTAGTCAGGTTACGGGATGGCTTTGCTAATGTAAGTGTGGCTTTACCTTCCAGAATGCTTCAATCTCATATGTGGTTTAATTGTGCAGGAGGAGTATGACGCCTATGTCGGCAAGGTTTCTGTACTGAAAGCTGTCTGCTTGGCTTTTCCCGGCTATGCGGACCTCATCGACTATTATGGCGGTCAGCATCCCCTGTCGCTGGCTGTTCTGGACTATAGCTTCAGGAAGCGAGCCGCATCGAAGCTGACACGCTGGGGTACTTGGTCATCACGGGTTCAGACGCCAGACAATAAGCAGACCCTTGAGCTATTACCGGATGCTGAAGACATTCAAGCAGCACTGGACATGTTTGTCAGTTCATCAGAGGTTGAAGCCATCCGGGAGTCGATAGCGGTTTTGCTCACAAAATACAGGGAACACGGGGTGGTCATGGCTTCATTATATAGCCAGGATGAGATGATTGAGCTGGACGCCAGATATGCAGTTGAGGGAGGAGACTACTGCACGCAGTTCATCAAAAGGATATACGTTGAAGAGTTTCGGAGCGCAGACAGGCTCTTTGGTGGTGCGCCAGCGTGGTTGCCTTACTGCAAGTACCTGCTTAAGAATCCTGTTGGAGTGAACTGGGCTGAGATGGGCTGGTTGTGCGAGCACTTGATAGGGGATGCTCTCCTGATGGGAGGGGGATTGGATCTGGACGGCTTCCACGTGCAGAATGTGAGATCTCGGGGGTTCACTACTGTCCCCAAGTTTGCATATTGGCGCTCCGAAGTAGGCGATGGTGTTTTCTTCATTCCTCTCAAGTACAACTATGGTTCCATCGATGGGCTACTTGTCATCCGAATCCAGGGGAAGCTGCATCTCTTCGCAATCCAGATCACGGTGAACGCCAGCAGGCATTACCACAGCGCCGAAGAGTTCATGAACCTGTCAGTGGTGGAGGAATGGATCCCCAACATACTGGCAAAGCGTGACGAGTGGGAGCTGCATTTCGTTTTTGTCTGCTGCGAGAGCAAGGCTGCGGTCAAAGTTGCGCCGGAACTCAAGGCGACGAGGAGTGGCAGCGCTTTCGGCACCTTGGCTTACACCATGCATCAGGTTACTTTCCAGTCGCTGCTAGCTAACTCGATCAGCAGCGACTTGAAGACAGTGTTAGAAGAGATAGCGATTAGGCGAACGCCAGGAGAGGAAAGAGACTCTGCACCAGCTGGAGCAGCAGGAGCAGCAGCACAAACTACGGCAGCGGGGCCCAAATTGGTGGAGAGGTTGCTTGCTTACTCAAACCGCAAGAAGCTCAACCAGATTGCGCAAGACGAAGGCGTTGCTTTGGATCCTAAACTGAAGAAGCCGGAGTTTGTTCTGCAACTGGCAGCAAAGCTTGCGTGCAAGGATGGTGATGGGGACAGTGAGGGAGGCGCAGCGCAGAGCCAGGGCTGCAAGAAGGCCGAGGAGGCGGGAAACTCCAAGAAGCGATCGAATCCCAAGGATGCCGCTGGAGCTACTGGAGATGCGGCTGCTGCCTCCGCAAAGAAGAAGAAGAAGATCAAGGATGGTAATGGGGACAGTGAGGCGGGCCAGGGCGAGGCCGGGAGCTCTAAGAAGGCCGAGGAGGCGGGAAGCTCCAAGAAGCAATCGAAGCCACTGGAACGGTTGGAGAAGAAGAACAACGAGATAAAGGATGGTGATGGAGGCGCAGCGCAGGGCCAGGGCAAGGCCGGGAGCTCCAAGAAGGCCGAGGAGGCGGGAAGCTTGAAGAAGCGATCAAAGCCCAAGGATGCTGCTTTAGATGCCGCTGCTGCCTCCGCGAAGAAGAACAAGAATGATTTCTTTTCTAACCGTTGATCTAATGGGAGCCGTCCGATCCAGCCCTTGTTCATTAGAAATTGTCGGGTATGGCGATCGCCATGGGAGATGGAAAGCAAGTTTGACGATAAGCAAATCGACGAAGAAATGGGTTTATTTATGTATTGTTATATATTCCCCTGTTCTTTGTGCTGGAGGGGGTTTTATTTGGACATCTAGTTAGCAAGCAGGGTATCTAGATATATAGGTCAATGGAACACCTTGCTCATGTTCCTATACTGTCTTTTGTATCTCAAGTCTAATGGTTCTTAGGGGAAATTGGCTTCTTTCCTGGTTTATATGTGGCTTTGCAAGGGATGGTGAGCTCACTAGTAAATACAGTCAATTGTGTGTCCTTTAAAGCAAACCTTGCTAGAAAAATAAAAATAAAAAAATGTATTGTCAATTAGTTTGAGATGAACTTATATTTTCTGATCTTATATATAAAAAAAACAGAAGCATTCATTTTGGATTTATTTTGAAGCATCTTCTCCTCTTTCCAACAAGTTAAAAAATGCACAATTTAGTGGAGAATCAAGCCATATATGCAAGTATTTTTCTCTTGCATTTCCCCCAACTTTGCACCAATTTGGAGAACTGTTTGTATAGATATTTAGATCTAGTTATAAAGATTCCAAAATATACTTTCTTAATAAGCAAAATGTAAGTTAAGAGATCTTTCACTTTTTCTCATTTTTTTCTTCATTCCCTCTTCCCAGTTGTGTCCTAAAGCTTTAAGAGTGAGATTTCTTGAATGTTCTTTAAAATTTCTTTTATGGATCTCTTCCTTTGCTTCCTAGCTTCCTTTCTTGCAAAAGAATTTGCCAAAAATAATGACTTTTATTGTTGTTTATCTTACAAACTATATACCTGTGACTTTAAAGAGTTCTTTCTTATTTCATCATCATTTTCATCTTTTTTAAGCATGTTGGATAAATCTCTTTTAGATCTTTCAGCCATGTGCTTACATGCAAGGTTTAATTGCAAGATGAGGAATTTTGAGTGGTTTCCCACTCATATTCATTTGCTTTGAGTAAAAAGAGTGGTTTCAGTTGTTTTTCATGCAGTTATAAGCAATTTAGACTTTCTATAGAAGTATAGTTGCCTTCTTACGCACTTATCCTCACTATTTTTAGTGCTCTTAAGCTTGAGATATTCATATTTGTTTGCCTTTGTGAGCTTGTGGGTGACAATTTTTAAGTTTCTTTTCAGATTTTATAGCTATTTATTTTGGCTGTAAGATTATATCAACTTTAAAGATTCACATCTAACGACTTTAGGATTGTTTCCTAGTCAGTCCTCCCCTTTATTCTTCACTTTCTAGTCTTGTTTCCTTGGGTTTGGGATAATTCTTAAGAAATTTGTATTGTGGAGACTAACAAAATAAAATATCAATCTCTAATAGATTATAACTAATCACCAACCATATAAATCACCATAGATGAAAAATCTCAAGTTCTATAATATGCCTATGGAAAAACATCTTATCTCATTTCAATCTCAACTTTCACAATATCAATATCAAAGCATCACTTCAATATCATCAACACCAAAACAAAACTAAAAAAAAGCAAGAGAGAATCACCATTCAAAGCTCTTTAGCAACTAAATTAACCAAAGTCAAAGATTAGTATTAATCCATTATCAATACCTAATTACAAATAACACATAATTAAGGAGTAAATTACTATATTCAAACACAAGAAGACATGAAAAATCATGAAACCCTAAAATCCTCTTCAATACCATCTAGTAAGTAAATCCACTGGAAAGTGTTAGTAGTCCTCAATTAAGTCTCTTCTAATTGCCTTTATAAGACCTAAATATCAAACTCACATCATCAAGTCATATAAATACATTAGATCCAATATATAGGAATATGGATAAGTATAAACAAGATAACAACTCAAATTCTATTGTACTACTATAAGCCTATGATAAATGCTTGGAAGTTTGGCTCCATATTGCCTTTGACACATGTATCCAAGGATTAAGTTCTACTCTATGGTTATACTATGGTAAATTACCATAAAATATAAGGTGAAAACCACATGATTACAATGTTGGTCATTCTTCCCTATTCTTTATTCTAGGAATTGACAAGTGTGCAAGTTCTGCACTGCCAAACTCTTTACATGACCTTTGGTGAATTGTGTCAATAACTAGATGATTATAGTTAGGGTCTTTGTTGATGATATTTGGGATGATGTATGTCAAGTTATTGTATCTTGGCAGTGCAAAACTTGCACACTCATCAGCTTGTGTAATGTTGTGATGGCAAGAGTAATAGCAAAAAACATAGAAAACCTATAATAAAATAAAGAGGCAAACAATTTAAAATGAGCCTCTTAAATTCAACCCATTAGCATCTTTTGTTCTGACAAAAATGTTCAAGAGTAGGCAGCCCAATGCAAACTCAACTATTCTAAAGTTATCATTTTCCATCATTATCGCAAGAAGACCTTCCTAAAATTCAATCCAAGTTCAAGCTTGAGCGTGAGCAAGAGCCAAGTCTGAATGTGAGTCTGAGCAAAAACTTGAGTACATGCTTGAGCCCAAGGGGTTGTAGGTCTGGGGTCAAAATGTTATCATATCAAGATCTGGGGTCAAAATGTTGTCCAATTTTGCTGCAAGATCGTTGCCTATCAAGCTTGCAAAGATCTATAGTAAAGTACATGGATTTGTGAATGGTTCTTGTAAAGGACAAATTAGTACACAATCAAAGAAGGTTTAGTGGAGCTTGCACTGCTTTACAAGGCCATGGTCTTCATTGGTGCTACAAGTGACACAATCAGGTATTTGTGCAATGCAATTGGATCTGCTTCACCCGTGAAAAGGAACAGTATTGTGGTCTCCATTGGTGCTACAAGTTACACAATCAGGTATTTGTGCAATGCAACTGGATCTGCTTCACCCGTGAAAAGGAACAGTATTGTTGGAGTTAACTCCATGCTAGGATCATGTTCATTCTCTGTTATATCACTAGAATCTGCTCCAAAAGAACCTTTAGTGTCAAATGTGTCACTGTTGTTATCATGAGGCTTGTCTCCACACAAACTAGTGTGCAGCTCCTTCACATGTTCCAGAGTGATTGTAGGCAATCCTAGGTAGCCTGGAGTGCTAGTGAAGAGGCCAAACTATTGATCTTGTCCACTGGAAATGTATTGTCACCATTCTTGGGTATCTGCTCCAACATTGTTGGAGAATCTTGTCTACAATTTCCATGATCTGTGAAGAGGTTTTGGAGTGTCTACTGAGCTGAAGGAAAGTCCCATGGTAGTAGAGTTTGGTCGAGCAAAGTGAGAGTAACCACACAGTAGTAAACTTCCTATAGCTCGCTTTCCTTATGCACCATAGGATCTAAATGCCCCACAGCTACTTGTGCAGCCCCACTGATGGAAAACTCACACAAAGTTTTCCATAGGGCTAGTGGGAATCATGCGTATCCCAGTATGTAATCCATCCCGTGATACATCCAAACGGGCTTGGCAGTTATCTCGGGCCACGGTTCTCCATCTTCATATCTCGTTTCTTCTGCCAGAGGCAAGTCGCTCAAAACGAAGAACGCATTATCTGGCCTTTTCTTCCTGTACACGTTATCACAGAAGGTGTAGTTACGGAATGAGAAGTCTTGTACTTGCTGCCACAGCCGCATGGTATCCCTCAGCCAGTAGTCCCAAATTGATAAACCCAATCCACCATAGTGGCTGCCGTACCCACCCGCCGTTGCTCAAACATCCAAGAAGGTTTTCAATATGCGTTGACACCTTCTCACAGTACTCAAGCTGTATGTATGGGAATAGATGTCCAACAATTCGAATTGAAAGAACTGCCTGATCCGTCAACTTTCTCTATTCCCGTATATTCTACTATATTTATGAGATTAGACGACGTAATTAGTTTTATGCTTGAGCACCACTCCTAACAGCGCAGGACCGCCCGGAAATTCTGAAGACCGTGATCTCAAAAAATCAAACATCCAACCAAGGATCCATTCTCACCTGTGACGGATCACGAGCGAAGCAATTCGCGTCATGAGCTCCGGCGGCCATCGATGGAACCTAGAGAAAACTTGGAGCATCAAGACGAGACTAGAAACTCTACATCTGGCTTTCTTACTTGGTAAGCATCCGTGTATAGAGCTGGCTTCACTGCTGCTAGCTTCATCGAAAGAAACTGTAGAGAAGAGAAATCACGCGAAAGATGGTGCTAACAGTAGCTTCTTACCTCAACTTGCCGCTGGAGAGATTGGACATAGTTGATGATCTCGTCTAGCATCATAGCTTTTCCCGTTACCTATCACACAACCACAGTGGAAAAATCACGAGTGTTTGAGAAATCTAGTAGAACCTTGCTGCAACCAGGCACGAGATCCTGCAGCGTTTTCATGCGCTCGCTAATCTTCTCACGACGAACCTGGAAGAAAAAAAGCAGAGACAAGAATCAACACACAGAGTTCTTCTTTGTTTTGTGAACTGACCCTTTCGGCGAGACTGTGGCTGTCCGTTGCTTGGCCTCGCCTTGCTCGAACGTGAATGTAATCTTGCGTGTTCCCAGCTCCTGGCTTGGAATTCTCCTTGCCCAGATTGGAATTCGTAGTGTTCTCGGTGCTCTCGCTCAAAGCTTGATCACCGCGATCCTTGGCACCTTTTGGTTTCTTGTGCTGCTTCTCATTCGCTTCTATGGCCTGCGAAAGAAAAAAAATACGAACGAAAAGAGAGATGTGAGAAGAACTCACAGGTAGAGAAAGAAGTCACCTTTCTATCCTTTGGAGGTCTCCTTCTCTTGGCCTTGTCGATCGCGGTGGGAGGCGGTGCTGTGATCACGTCTTGGCCATCGTTGGAGGGATTCACATCGAAATCCGACTGAGGCAAGACCGCTGGAAGCGTGGACGTGGCGAGCTCCGCCTCGGGATCTCCCGCAATCTCGTGCCAGAGATCGCCATTGATGAGGAGCTGCGTGAAGGAGAATGCGCTCTGCCGCGAGGTGCTCGCATCCCCGTCGCCGCAAGATTCGCCCCTGGGAATCTCTCTCGGGGAGGAATGCCTGGGCGCCATAGGCGCTGAGAAATGCAGCGCTCACTCTCCGTGTCTACCTCGATCCCTCTCTACTTGCGCTCCAATTCCGCGCCGCCGGCCACAGTGCTACAATGCGGCAGTGGGATCGATCTACATTGCCTGTGGAGCGCTCAGCTTGGCGAGCGCGATCCTTTCCCCGCGCGAAATCCTTCCTCCATAGCCGCAATCGAGCAAGAGATTGACAAACCCTAGCAAAGCAGAGTATATTTTATTTTAGGGTTCTAGCGTGATCGCCATGGCGGCATTGAGGCGAAGCGCGAGCCTCTGGCGCCTCGATCGATGGAGCACGGGTTTCGGGAGAATCGGAGCGATGAAGCAGCAGCTTTGCGATCAGGTAAAGCATTCTCTCTACCGCGGCTCGGTTGGAAACTTAGTTTTTCTTCCTTTGGAATCAGACTGCTTGGCGATCGTCTGTAGGAATCGAAAGAAATCGCGGCTTTGCGGGGCTTGGAGAGTTCATTCCTCGCAAAGAGGTGAGCTTTTTTTTTGTTCCTTCTTCTTTGTTCTTTCTTACAGTTCCAAGTTTGTAGATTTTTTCTTCGGCTTTTGCTATACCTTGGAGAGGCCTCGCGACTGCTCGTCAAGTAAGTGAGAAGCTCTTTCTTTTTTTTGCTTAGCAGTCTTTGAGCTCTGCCTGCAGTATGGAGGTCATGCCATCTTAGTTTTTCGAGGTAATTCCTAGCAACGGAGAGAAGATATAGATGCATGAGCTCGATCTGTGTTCTTTACAAACGATTTATCAAGTGCTCTTTCTTTTTCTATGTAGGTGAAGATGGATTTCTACATGAGTAGTCCCGGGTTGATCGCGGAGAAATATCGGCCACCTCCACCACCGCTTCCGTTTTTCCAAAGGTACTTTGACTTGTTCTTTTTTTCTTTCCAGTGCGAGCTTCTCTAGACACTCCATAGGTGGTTCACACGACAAGGCTGGAGGCTCAAGAAGAAATACCTCATGGACATGGTTAGTCATTCGTTCCGCTATTCCAGGTGATTGAATCTCTTGGCAGCTGAAAACAGCGTATTGTCTAGCCAAACTCCGCAAAAAGCACAAAGGATACAACCAGAAGGTTTTCTACCGGGAAGCGACTGATTTGTATAAGGAGGTACGAGCTCGCCATAGCTTACACATTTTTATTTTTTTTGAAACAAAAGCCATTTTTTTTTACAGATAAACAAGCTCTCTGCTGCTGGCGATCTGGGTAAACTTCGTAGGCTCGTCACGGAACACTTTTTTTCTGTAAGTTTGCTTTTAGAGTCTAGCATAATTCCCTCACTCTTGTTTCTGCATAGGTGATAAAGAACCAAATCAAGCAAAGACAAGCTGCCTATAGTCGCGTTCATTGGGAGATGGTTGGACAGATCAAGCTGATGAGAACTCTCCAGGGACGCTTGGTAGGAAGAACTATCATCGAGATGCTATAAAACCAATCTTTGCTTCCAGATTGGAATCGACAGGAAGGATCTGGACAATGCGTTCGTCCAGATCACTCTTCGGATACAAAGTAACCAGGTACCTTTCCTCCCAAGCAATCGAATCAAATCAGATTAAATTTTGATCTTGGTGGACAGATATTCGCTGCTTATGACAAGAACAATAACATTATCAAAGGCGATTTGGAGAAACCAGTAAGTTTCTGGAAGCTCAGTTATACTGACTCAAACGAAGTGGTGTTTGTTTCTTTCCCAGCTCTTGGTCGAGGACATATGGATCTTTGAGAAACACCTCACGAGACCCGATTCGACCTGGAGGCTCTGTGGTCAGCTAAACTTTTGAGTCAAATTTCCTTCCAGAAGTTACTAGCGGAGAACTTACAAAAAAAATTGTGTATGAGTGTGACGGTTTTAGCTGTTAGCCAGCTACAAAACTTCGATCTTCTCTTTTATATATCCTACACAAACATCAAGCGTCAGTATGTGATCAACATCAACGAGAAAGAAAAGCGCCACAAAGATATCAGACCCAAAAGGTAGACAAGGAAAAAAAAGAATAGTTTTCATTGATTATGTGCCGTTAGCTTGCATGCCGCAGCAGCTTGCAAAAATATCTACAATCACAAGAGGGGAGGTGTAGTTTACAGTGGCACAAAAGGGAAGAAGCCTCTCTTACCTCGCTCGATCGATGGAGAAAAACACGACTTGGCGTCTTTCTCTCTGGAAGAACACACTCAAAGTGAGCAAACGAGAAGAGTTACGAATGCAAAGAGACACACATACCTGATGAGCTCGATCGACGCGGCGAAACCTTCCACTCCATCTTCACTCGGACTGGGATTCAGCTCGAAAGTAGCTACGTTGTCGAGATAAGTGCTGGTTCCTTCGCGAATGACCAGCTCCATTATTGTTGTTTAGACCGAGAAGAACCGTCGCTGTTACAAAACCACACGCTAATCAGAAAGAGCCAAGCCAATGCAACGAAAACACGAGAGAGCAACACGAAGCAAGCAAAGAAGAGAAGATTTTCATACAAGGGTTTGCAAGTGAATCATGCAACCGAAAACACGAGAGAACTAAAGAGAAGAAAGCAAGAAGAACGAAAGGTAGAGTTTTCATACCTGTGTTTGCAAGTGAATCCAGGCGCTCCCTTGCTGGCCTGGTATACTCACGAGAAGAAGACAATGGAAGGCCTAGTCCAGTGTTATCGTTGGCGGCGTTGAGAACGTTGTCACCACCACCAAGGCTCAGCGAGAACCAATCTTCATCCAGCTGCTCACCAGGAGAGATCGCCGGATTTTGCAACGTCTGCCGCTGCTCCCTCGCCGGCTGTGGCGGCAGAAACAGCCGAAAGCCCGACTTTGATGGCCCCGTATCGTCGCCGCCACCATCTTCGTCCATCTCGTAAGCTTGGTACGCGAAGTCGAGCTCCGAGTTTTTGGCTTGCCGCGCGGGACCGGCAGCGTCAAAAAAACTGTAAGGAACTTCCTGCGATGGCTGCGACCATAGCGAGCTCTCGAGCGGCATTCCCATGCCGCCGCCACCACCACCACCATCTGAGCCTGTGTGTCTCGAGGAGCTATGTCGTCCTCGAGCTCCACCTGTAGCCCCGTTAGCTAGTCTATCCTTGTTCTTCCCACTGCCACCATAGCTGCTTGAAGGAGCGGCACCACCGTTGTGCTGCTGCTTGCCATTGTTGTAAGGTCCACCAGGCGAGCCCGACTCTTCATCCGAATCACTAAGAACTATTACATCTCCGGCACTGGCAGGAGCTTCATCTACGAGTGTGGCCTTGCTCTTCTTCCACGCGTTGATAGCCAGGCCTCCTCCAGCCCGCAAGCCCGCCTCGTTGTCTCCCGTGTAGTCTTTGGAGTATGGTTCCTGGTTCACGCTTCTTTCGTCGTCCTCGTTGTTTGTGTCCGTGGCGCTGGTGCTACGTGAGTAGGACGGCTCCTTCGGCTTGGGGATGGCCCCGCCAGACGGTCTCAGCACGGCCCAGCTACCGTCGTGTGCTCTCTTCATGCCAATCTTTAACGGTGGTCTTCCTTGAGACACGCCCTCCTCTTGTTTCACTGTAGCCTTGTGGAAGCCGTTTGCTAGCACCGGTGTGCCATCCGGACTTCGCCATGGTTGTCTGGACACTGTCTCGCCTTCAAGCTTTGGCCGCCACGAACCATCAGCCTTAAGTTCCACTTCCTTGATGTCCTCTCCATAGTCTTTCATCTGTGCATATGTAGATAACGTAAAGGAGATGTTTAAGTGAAAACAGTCTCTCACCGCATGAGTGATGCGATTGAAAAAAGGATCAATGATGAGCTGATCAAGAGAGTAATTCTTCATACACACAGGACATTGCCACTGTACAAAACCAAAACGTCAAAACAGTAAGGAGAGGGTAAGGCACATTAAACGAACCTTTCGTGCTCTTTGATTAAGCTCAACAAATGTCTTCAAGTCGAAGCCGCCCATATGAGCACATGGTTTAAAGCGGCCAGCGATATGTATCCGAGAACCACTCATCTGAAACACTCTATATCAGCACTTGACAAAGAAATAGAACAAAGAAAGCAACAAAAACTTACAGGACAACTCAAATTCATAGTCACGGAGTCGGCAACAACTTCAAGATCGCTATCATCGTCATCGCCGGCATCGCTTGCACCGCCATCTATACAACGACGGACACGAGCCAGGGCCTCCTCGAAAGATTCGCCACGGGCAGCACTCGGGATCAAACTCATCACCTGCAAATAAAAATATCATTAGTATGTCAAAAAGCCTTCGTTTCATCATTTCATCAATAAACCTGCTCGACACTAAGGCGACGAATGATGCGAACGCCCATACAAAAAGGCCGGGCATCACACGCTGACAGCGAGATCCTGTTCGTGCCCTCTCTGGTACAGGCAGTTATCTGCAAAATATGCCTCATATTAATACCAAGATCGAAAGAAAATGGAAAAGTTGCCCACCCCTGGACCGTCATCTCGGCCATTTGCACCAAGCAACTGCTTCGCGGCTCTTGTAGTTACCCTGACAACGACACCTGATAATCAAATGTCAATGCGAGAACTAAAAACTCAAGGGTCAGAATACCATTGACGCGAAGCTCCGCACAGTCTGGCCAGTGCATTCGAAACGGAACTTTGTCATTGAGGAGAAGACACCACACCTAAACAGAAGCACGTAAGTATTACCAATTATACTCTAGAAACAAAGACCTGAAGGTCGTGGTTTGGTTTATGCAGGTTTTCTCGATCAGCCTTTGATAAAATAAAAGTCTTCTCCAGGGAATGCAAAGGAGACGCCCTGACATCAGGAAGGGTATAAAAAATCTGATTGACATTCTCAAGCCAACATACCCTTCCATCTGAAGAGCCGCTGGAGCGTAAAACTTAGCTGCAGGCAACGGTTGCGATAACGTAACACAAAAACTGCACAATCAAGTAACCATGTCAGAGCTTGCATCTCAAACAAATAAAGAAAGCAAAACTTAACGGATCTCCATAATTAATCCTGCAAATTTCACAGTAGAATTGCGATGGAACATCGGGCTCGACACCCTCGGCTGCATTCTCAGGAATCACCACGCAGTTAAGGTGCTGCCACACTTTGCAGGCTTGGTTGTCACACTGCAAAAGAAGAAGAGCAAGCATTTGTCAAGTAAAAAAGGAATCCAAAAACTATTCCAAAACCTGGATCATAGTTCCAGTATCCAGCGAACTCCCACACGGACATCGATTCTCAGTTTCATCCGGTTCATCCGATCGACCGGCACTCACAGACACAGCACCGGAGAAATTCCTGTGTCCGGAAGCCAACTCCACAGCTCCCGATCCCCGCAACTTCCTGCAACTCCAAAAACATACGTAAGAACTCAATCGTCGTGAGAGTAAAACACAAAGCACCTATAGATGTCATCTATAACTTGCGCTGCGATAGAGCTTCTATTTCCGTCAGGCTTGAAACCTGGGAATGCAAAGAAGTGAGCTTTAAGAACGAGGAAGAAAGAAAAAAAGACGAAGAAAAGAAATTCAAACCTTTTTGGACTGGGTGTTGCTGCCACTCGGAAGGAACAAGCACCGCGAGAACTTTGTCCATAAGAACCTAGGGTAGAAATGGAGCTCGTAATCGAAAGAAGCAAACCAAATCCTAGATCGGTGAGAAACGATACCTGTTTCTTCCCCTGCTTGGGAAGCCCGAGCCTGGTGAGAACATCCTTGAGCTCCTTGATTCGAAATGAGGCCAATTGCGTCTGGACGATCGATCACACGATGCATAGTATCACTCGAGGAGAATAGCTCCGAGATTTTACCTTGCAACGCGCTAAATCACCCATGGATTGCCCCTAGTCGCGCGAAATGCGCCCCCACGCATGCATTCCTGGCCCCGCACACGACGAATTCTTCCTCATAGCTCCATGGCCGAGCGCAAAAAACCCTAAAAGAGAGCGCGCTGCCACCGGCCACGGCGACGCCCTCCCACCGCGGCTCCTCCGCGAATTCGCAAACCCTAAGCTCTGCGTGGGCAGCAGCAGCGAGCGCTTTGCCCCCCCCAAACAACAAAGGCACGGGCGCCGGGTTCATGTGACGGGCTGACGGCCAGAATTTGGCCGTCGCGTGACTGGGGTGACGGGCGCGGCCGACGAGAAAATAAAACGATCTCGTGTTCGATTCATTTACATTCGTCCACGTCACTCCTTAAATGCCATTGGCCGGAATATTTCTTCCCCGGCATATTCCGCCGAAGATTCAGTCCACAGTCAAAAGGCATATTCTTTGAAAGTAAAACCCAAAACATGACGGAATATTTTATTAAGCTAGGTACACTTAGAAAGACATATTCTGTCAAAGTACGGAGAAAGAAGGGAATATTTTATTAGGTCATGGTAACGCTAAACGGAATAGTACACAGAATAAACTTTAAAAGAATATTCTGTCAAAGTACGGACACTTTATCAAAGATTTCGTTTATTCGTTTATAGCGTCATTTTCACGGCATCACGCCCGCCCTCGATACAAGACAACAAACAAACCTGGCTCTGCGTTCCCACTGTGCCGCCAGTTAAATCAAGAGGAGGGGGAATTGTTAACTTACCCCAGGGGGTTTAATTAGCACGAATTCCCATTCAAGAGTAGCGAGCATCATCCGGATGAAAGGACGATCCCATTTTGATCGATCGGCCCATGGATGAGAAAAGAAAGATTTCTCGCCTCCAGGCTCCATCGGCATTGCTTAAACAATTCGCTGATGCGATCGTTCTCGGGATTCTTGGCGCCATCTAGTCAAGGCTGGATCGCTGGATCCCTAGGTATCGCTCCAAGAATCCTTCACGCAAGCGCGGGGCTCGGCTATGGATGCGTCAATAATCCAGCAGCAGCGCTTCCAGTCGAACTATCGCGTTCTTGGCGAGGATTGAGCGGCCCGGCTATGGATGCGTCGATAATCCGGCTCTCTTTCTTTCAGCAGCGCTTCCAGTCGAAATATCGCGTTCCTGGCGAGGATTGAGCGGCCGCCTGGCCAGGAATCGTCGAGCAATCGCAATGCAGGCACGCCAAGGTACCGGTAGCGCTAGCTCTAGCAATCTCGTGTTTCTTCTCGCCGGGGTAGTAATCTCAGCTCTAGCGTCGGCGACAGGGCAGGACAGGGCTGGGGCATCGATCCAGCTCCCAGCGCTGGGCCCGGAATCCATGGTGTTCATGGGAAACGCGAGCTTCGGCCGCACAGGCCAGATCGAGCTCAACAGCCCGATGCTCGGCAGCGCCGCCGCCACGACGCCAACACTCAGCAGTGGCAGAGCGCTCTTCAATCTCCCGCTCCAGATGCTCAATCCATCCGCGAGCTTCGAGACCTCTTTCACTTTCTCTACGATCCAGGGAAGCTCTTTCTTCTTCGTTATTGTTCCAAACAACCAGGAGCTCGCTACTCTCCACGGACTCTCGGTGCGATTCACGACCGCCAACAACACCATCGCCGTGTGGTCCTCGTCGCGAAATCTGGCCACCACCGTGGCGGAGTTTGATCTGGGGCTGGAATCCAGGCGGACGTTCGTGTGGATTTCTTACGACTCGAGGAGGCACCGGGTGGAGATCCGAGCTAGCAACTTCTCGGTTTTGGCGGCTCCTCCACTTCCAGTGATCGCCCTCGGACTGGATCTCTCGGCCCGGGTGGTCAATCAGTTCATGTACGTGGGATTCTCGGCCTCGTCCACTCTGCTGGCCGCCAAGAGCACCATCTGCGCCTGGAACTTCACGAGCTGGGTTCCCGATCCGTCAGTCCACCCGGATCCCGCCACTCTCGACTCGGCTGCTTTGGATTCTTCCTCCAAGAGCTCCTCTGCCAGGTTGAGGAAGAACTTGGCCGCTGCTGGGATCGCCGTGACTGCTCTGGTGGTCTTCGTCGTGGCGGCAGTGGTGGTCGTGAGGATCATGAGAAACAGCGCCAGCCACCACGCCAGGAAGAAATTCTCGAGGACCACCGACCGGAAGCTGGATCCAGAAGTGGGCGATGATCAGTCGATGGCGAAGTTTTCGTATAAACAGCTCGTCTCGGCCACCAACGCCTTTGATCTCAGACACAAGCTCGGGCCACCGGCGACCAGCCAGTGCTACCGCGGAGTTTTGTCCGACTCCATCGTAGCGATCAAGGTGGTGTCCGATAGTAACTCTCTCGTGGAAGAATCGCTCAAGCTCGTCTTGGAGCTGGCCAGCCTCCGGCACAGGAACCTCGTCAACTTGCTGGGCTGGTGTAGCAACAAAACCACAGCCGAGCAGCGATCATCCTTCCTCGTCTACGAGTTCATCCCGAATGGCTCCCTGGACGAGCACCTCTTCTCGAGCAGCACCAAGAGCAATCCTCTGCCGTGGTCGCATCGTCACAAGGTCGCGTGTGGAGTGGCCCAAGCTCTCGACCACCTCCACTCGCGAGGCCTTGCGCATGGCAACGTAAAGTCGAGCAACGTGATGCTGGACGCCAACTTCACTGCTCGCCTTGGCGACTATAGCTTGAAGAACAGAGGCACCGGCAAAGCTGGGGGTGCTGAGCAGCCTCTCGCTGGATCCATGATCGTTGCTGGGACTTTCGGATACGTTGCTCCCGAGGCCGTGCAAACCGGACGACCGACGAGCCGAGCTGACGTCTTCGCGTTTGGAGCCGTGGTCCTGGAACTCGTCTGTGGACGAAGAGCTCTAGAGACGAGCAGCTCCGGTGAGATTGGCGACGAGCAGCGCAGCAAAGTCGGAGAAGATAGAGCTGCCGATGGTGGTGACCAGAATTCGTCGTCCGGTGCTACTGTTCTAGTCGATCGAGTCCGGGAAGTGTTGAGCAGCAACAGCCATGGCAGCGATTTCAAGAAATCGATAGAGCTGGAGAAGGTGGTGGACGTGAAGCTCGCGGGGCTTTACGACGTGTCCGAGATGGAGGTGCTCGTTTCACTGGGGCTGGCGTGCTCGGACTTGGACCCGGAGAGGAGGCCGGCGATGGAGACGGTAGTGAAAATGCTGGCGGGGGAGATCCCCGTTCCGTCACCTCGGCTTCTCCTCTCTTCTTCGCCTTCTCCTTCCTCCATCGAGAGCAAGGATCGATCGAGCAAGAAGGATCGTAAGATGAAGGGCGCCGCCGAGCAGCAAAGGAGGCCCATCGAAGAGCTGCTGGCGATGAAAGATTTTGGAAGCTTGTTTGCTGCTGATAATGACTCGGCAGTTTGAGAGGATCGAGAGAGACGATTTCGTTTGTCTGTACAACAAGCTTTTTGGAAGAATAGAGAATTTTGAAGTACCTTGATGAGTCGATCAAGTATATAGTAGAGAGTACCAAGCCACAATATAGCTCGCCAACACAAAGAATGCTATAGAACCAAAACCACGCACGAGAGGTAAAAAAAATACCTGGAAGAACAAAAACCATGAGAACTACCAAAACTCTCGCGATCACGTACTTTACAAGAGAGGAAAGAAAGCTTTCGTCCTCTTAAGTGATGGCTGCCTCGGGATTTGGAAGTAGCAAGAGCTCTTCCAGCGTGCTTGTTTTTCGTGCTCGGCTCCTTCCCACGCCTTTGAGCAATGCCAATAGCCTCTCCCGGTCTCGTGCTACATCCGGATGAACAGTTCCCAGGAGCTCTTCTTTGATTTCCACAACGTTTTCCAGAAGAGCGATTGCATCGTTAACTCTGAAGCAAAAAAAAACAAAACTTAGACGGGAAAGCAAGGAGAATACAAACCTTCCAAGAGCGTCGTAACACCCAGCGAGATTGCTAGACACCGCCAGTGTCTCCGCGTGATGAGGTCCAACAGCTTTCTCCAGTATTCTCTTTGCTTCTTCGAAGTGCTTCACCGCATTGTCGAGCTGCTGAAGTTCCACGCTTGCCAGGGCCAGCTGATTAAACAGGACGCCCAGGAATGTCGTCTCTCTGTCCGTCCCGAACTTGAGCTTTAGTATAGCGCTGTTGAAAGCAGTGTATGCCTCCGAGAATTTTCCCATTACGTAGAGGAGAACTCCCATCTGTGCCTCCACGCCTGCGGCAGCACTTTGCTCCCCGGGAGCAAGCTGTAAGATGTCCAGTGCTCTCTTCAGTAGCGACAATGCCTGCTCGCGTTCTCCCATAGCTTCGTAAACACCCGCAACCTCGACCAAACCACTTGAAAGTTCATGCCCGGCGTTGTTCTTCCCGAAAATCTTCAATGCATTCTCGCAGTAAGTCTTGGCTTCCCGTTGTCTTCCTGTCTTTAGGTAGAGGTCCGCGAGGCTCACGTAAACAGCGGCAACAGCAGTATGGGAGTCTCCCTTGGCCGACTTCAGAATTGTGAGAGCTTTCTGGTACGAGAAAACCGCCTCGTCGTAGCGACCAAGAGCAAAATAAGCCTCTCCAATGCTGCAGTCGACTGAGGCAACGTCCAGATCCTGGCCATTACAGCTCAACGTTGTGCTTGCCAGTACCAAATGCTCTAAAGCCATCTCGTGTTCACCTTTCCCTGCGTGTATTAATGCCATGAGCTTTCTGTCTATGGCTTCGTCCACTGAACCGGCAGGGCTGTGTTGGCTGTGTATGTCAAGGACGTGCTTGCAAAGCTGTTGAGCTTCGTCAAATTGCATCACCTGGACAGGAGATAAAAAATATATAATTAGAAAATCGAAAACTAAGAACTCGAAAAATGAGAGGAGAGCTTACCTGAAGATGAGCTTCTGATAAGTATCGGCAAGTCTCTGCAACTCGTGGATCCATGTCTCCAAGCACCTGCTTTTGCACGTCCAATGCGTTGTGATAGGAAGCCAGAGCCATTTCGTGCTTTCCTACGAGGGAAAGCGTATCACCAAGCTGCATATGCCCGGCGAAAACAGCCAGTGCGTGCTCCGACCCCTGATCTACGCTGGGAATGAGCAAGGAGCTCTCCAGCACCTTGATCGCTTCGTCGTAACGACCGAGCCGGCAATACCCCGCAGCTACAATGTGTAGACATAGCACCAGCTCCAAGTTGGCCACCTCGCCATCTTCTTTCTCGAACAAAGTCGCGGCTCGAGACGCGTAATCTATAGCTTTGAGCGGATTGTCCCCGGCGATATGGCTTGCTCTTGCCAGCCTCAGGAGGTTCAGAGCGTTGCTGTTCACGAGCTTCGGGTGATGCTGCTGCTGTGTCTCTTGTTCATCCAGACCAGCATCACTTTCGACGGCCTCCTGTTCCAGCTGTTTGCTTGGTTCCTTTGGTGGGGAATCACTCTTGATCGACTTTCGAGTTAAAGGCTTGCTCGGCGACTTTTGCTTTCTTGGAGGCGTCGGAGGACTTGCTCGAACCGGCGGTTTCTTGTCCAGAGAGTTTCTAAGACGAGAATTCACCGAACCTTTCGCCTGGCTGGGAAACTTGGCTTCCGCTGGGTTCTCTCTCGAAACAGCTTCACTTTCCTCCGGCGATATAGCTGGATTCTCGGCACTCGACTCCACGACGTCATTAAGTTCCTGAGAGCCCTCGTTTTCGTCGTGACTACCAGGCGCAATTGCTTCACTGTCAGAAGGAGCCGTGGAATTTTTACCGGCGGGAGAATTCCTTCCAGCGCTGATCTTCATTGCCTCGTTGCTGCTAGCGTTGGAAGCTTTGTTCTTCGTCTCTTCTTTCCCTTTGACACCTTTGCGGCCGGGCGGAGAGGCCGCCTTACGTGCATTGTCCGTTACTAAGCTCGGCATCCTCCCCTTCTTTTAGAAAATCTTAGAACCTATTAAATTCCAGAGAAAGAGAACTAACGTTAGGAAAGAACACCTACCTAGGAGGAAGACAAAGAAGAATTCCTACTAGAGCTTGCAATCTAATTCATTCCTACAGCCTTGCAAAGAATTTCAAGAAATCTCACGCTCACCTCTCCGGCAGGAGCTCCAACGCTCGAACCACGACGCACATTGCGCGAATTTTCAAGGCGATTCAATCGATTTGACGCCCGAGTGGAATCTGGCATTGGCGTGGTAGATCAGCCCCAGAGCAGCGAGAAATCCTGGAACTAGGGAGAGATTTCTTACCTAGAAGACGAGCGCTCTATCAGACAGTGCGCTCCAATTTTTCCCCGTTCTAGACCCTACATTCTCACACACACAAGCGCCTCAAAAGCTAGGCGCTAATTAATCACTGGCTAACGTTACTCCACATGCGCTTTAATGCTAAACATTCGCAGTATATACCCCCACGGTGCCAGTATTCCACCGCGATTAGGGTTCTTCGAGAGTGTCGAGCGATGGCGGAGGAGCTGGAGGACAATGCAGCAGGGCGGAAGGTATGATTCTCGTAGATTACGCGAGATGGAGCTTCAATCGGGCAGAGCGGCTGCCTTGGCGAGCCGGATGAGCGCCGCCGGTGGTGGATTTTCGAGCATGAGATTAGTTCTTGGGCACAGAGATTTTGCGCTGCTTGGGCAATGCGGCGTCTCAATCGGCCGCGGCAGGAAGAGGATTGACAGGAAGTATGGGTGCGATGGCGTAGCCGGTATTAGCAGTGCATTGTCCATGGATTGGAGGCCAGCATTCGATGAAGTGCTGCTCATGTCTAGCGTGCTACTTGCTTATGTTGCTGGTGTTGTGAGACCTTTTGCGGGGCTCACTGGGAAGAAAGCGTTGGAGCTGCCGGTTTCTACTGGATCGTAAGTAGCGTGAAGTTCTTGCCTTTCGATACTAAGAACGTTTTTTTCTTCTTTGTGTGTTAAATAGCATTGCTGAGAATGATCAGCAGAAGCAAATTCGTGTTAGCAACAGCGACTTCGTGTGGGATACTATGAGCCGAAAGCTCGTCGAGGCCATTTCTACAGTGGAGGCTGGCGCCATGGACGTTTCCTCGACGCCACTTACTTCCAATCCATCACTATGCTTGCAAGCGCTAGCTTATGGTCCGAGGCTCCGGCTCCTTCTGGCAGCGCTGTCGCTACTACGCAACGAGGCAGGCATTGACACTTACCTTTCAAGTAACTAGTTTGGTTGTGTGGATTTTGGATCTGACAAACGGCTGTTTTGTGGTTTCAGGCTAGCAGCAGGGAGATATCCTTGGAGGACGTATGTAGCATGGTTGGGCCTGTATGCAGGCTTTGGATCTCCCAGGAATTAAGAAAGACTGAAAAGACTTCAGCAGGCTACTTTTCAGGCAGCATGATCAAGACTGAGGATTTAAGTGGCGACGTAGAAACTGAAGCCAAGGAGTATATGTCAACACGCCTTCAAAGAAGCGGAAAAGCCAACCTTTACGCTGATTTCCTTTATCACCAATGCAAAAAGTCATTCAGGTAATCAATGTCTTTGTGGACTTCAATCGTTAGCATTTCTTTTCTTGCAGCTCGAGAACCTTTTCTGATCAGGCCGTGTCTACCAATCTTGCAAACAATGTCCTAGAGGATATCGTGATAGCTATTTCTGACGGGGCAGCTGCTATGTATCTGGGAGCCGTTTCTGGTGTTATTACGGGCTGGCCGACATTACTGCTTCCATCAATCTGCTCTACACGGAGCCTTGAAAGATTTCGAAACGAGGTATGGCAACACGCGAGTTTGTTAAAGATTTAAGTTTGAGCTTTTAGTTTCGTGCAGGTGGCATTGTATCAATGGATTCATTACAACTTCGACTCTGTTGCAGCCATTTACGAAGACCGAGTGGAGCTATGGGGACTCACTGCGAACGCAGGCAAGAACGAACCTGCTGCAAATAAAGCTCAGAAAAAACAGAAGAGAAAACCACTCGAAGGTGTTGACGAGCTGTATTTTGATCGCTTAAGCGTTCGCGTGAGAAGGAGCAAAGAACTGAAAGCTCTATCTGGATGGTAAATGGATTTGTCAATTTGCTATTGTCTTACGAACTGTGCACTTTGCAGGAGGTACTATTACAGCCTGTACATGGAATTCTCTGACGTTGTTGGTCCCCTTCTGCGAATACTGGTGACGAAACTGGGACAAGGTCTGTCGTTCCTGCTCGTCTGCCTTATAGGCAGATCGTTTGGACTCATTTACCAGGGAATAAGGCAGAGTGTGAAGTGGTCTTCAGACTGATTTCATTGCTTAAAGAAACTCGTGAATTTTTTATGAGAAGTTCTTTCATTTGCGACTAAACCTCTTACTTTTCAGCTCACTCGTATGGATTTCTAAAGGGATCGAAAGGCCTCGACGCACTAAGACCTCCATCGAGCACCAGGTTGTGTCCACTTATGTACTTAGCATCTTGACTGCACAGGAACAGCGCGGCATTCGCAACGTCCTCCACTTCTAGCTTGGTTCCTGCAAGCTCTGAGTTGCAAACATATGCTTCTTGAATCTGTTCCGAGGTAAGTGTCGGTTGTAATTTTTGGAGCAGTTTTGTCAGAAGCGGAGTAATGATCCCCACTGGTGATATGCAGTTCACCCGGATTCCGTGGCGTCCAAGTTCGCTGGCTGCGGTCTTGGTGATACCAATAATCGCGTGCTTGCTGATGGTATAGCTGTGGTAAGTTCTCTGTGCTACCACTGCTGATATGCTACACATGTTTAGAATGCAGCGCATGGAGTCCGTGCTGGAGATCATGGCTTTCGCAGCGTGCTTGACACCGAAAAGTGTTCCTTTGACGTTGACACTGCAAACGTGATCGAAACTCGAGGCATCGATATCAGTGATCCGGAGGAACGCTTGCTCAGGTTTGCCTGCGTCTACTACTCCAGCATTGTTAAACATTATATCCAATGTTTTCCCATAGGTGGAAGTGGCAAACTCGACGCAAGCAGATACTTGGTCCTCGCAGCTAACATCACAGTGGAAGTATCGGCTGTTTGGACCAAGATCCTTGACGAGAGCGCTCCCTTTCTCGTCCTGGATGTCCGCAACTACGACTTTGGCACCCTGAGAAGCAAAGAGCTTTGCAGTTGTAGCTCCTATACCACTGGCTCCTCCAGTGATTATAGCAACTCTGCCGTCCAGTCTGTAGAGATCACATAAGGTGAGCATTTTGGTTCTAAAACTGATTCTTGCTTACTTCTTTCCAGGTGTGAAGGAGCTCGCAACTGTGTGGAAAGTTATCTTACGAGAAGTGGAACAAGATCTCGTAGCCAGTCGGAGACGATGAGGAGCTCCCACAAATCGAGCTGTGATACTCGTCATTCCAGCCAGCAAGCAGATAGCCCTCTCGAGGTACGCAAAAGCGAACTTTTATCTGAGTCCTTGGCTTTGTCTTGCCTGGTTTGTCAATGATTCCCTTCTTGTAGTTGGAAGATTCTATTCGGCTAACGGAATGGAGTGGCCATGGCGCTCTTGAATCACATGTAAGTTCCCGTCTATTTTTTTTTTCGATCTTCGGACGATAGCTCGTGCGTGCACAGCTGCGCCAGAGCTCCACGCAAAAATCGAGGAAAATCCTCGGATCGAAGAAACCCATACCTCGAAACACGGCAGGAGCCTCGGCCATGCTGCCAACATATCACTATTGCATTGCATTGGAGACAAGAACAGGCGGATTTCCTGGTCCGCATCTACAACAAGCCACAGAACCGTTACGGTACCACAAAACACATTACTACCAGTTAAACCTTGGTGGAACGAGGAGTGCCATCGGCTTCACACAGCATACAAGCAGGCCAAACTAAGAGGACACTTAGCAGCACAGTCTCTGCGTTGAGATTTCAGGAAAATGGCTAGGGCATGAGCTTGCTTCCACGCTAAATGTTTCAGCATGCTTGGGAAGTGAGGAAAGCTTACTGTATTTTTAGCAAGCATTGCTTTCCAGTGATCACACTCTGGGTTCAATATATCTGCCAGGTGCATGAGCCAGCAACAGTTTTTACTTTCCCAAAATCCACATTGCTGACAATTCTATACCTGATTTTCTTTGATGGATCATTCATGGCATTTGTCCAAATCGAGGAAGCGTGGAATTCGAACACTTAGGGGTGCTCCAAATTACCACAGAACAGATGAAGACAGTGATCCAATCCCTCACATGCATGTCTATGGATTCACTGCCGAGCTATTGCCCCCATCCTCTTGCCAACTTTTCAACGAAATCATCCAACACGGTTTTCCACAGACCTGGAACACAACAACCAATGTACAAGGCTGGAGATCTAGCACCTCCAACTATCATGCCATAATGATCTCAACAATCTTGGTGAAGCTTCTGGCCAAATGTCTGGAGCAACTTCTTGTGAGCTGGACAGAGGACCAAGAATGCAGAGCAAGAGGGCAGGCCACTGCATTTTAGCTGCATCAACCACTTGGTGACGCTGTGTGTAGCCCTTGACAAACTGCATGCACACCTGCGAACCTCAGTGTATGCATGCTATGTCGATAAAGTAAAAGCCTGTGATAAGGTATTGAGGAGGTGACAATTCGCACGACTCCACGAACTAAATGTCCTGCCAAGCTCATCAGGCTCATTTAGAGGCTCTACAAAAACGTAAAAGAAGAAATCCTACAACACACTCTGATCTACTGTGACACAGGTGTTCGACAAGGCTTGCCCCTATCATCCACTCTCTTTGGCCTCTTTATCGATGGGCTGGAAATGTTAATGGCAGGGACACTCCCTCCTTGGTCTTGCTCGCCAGGATCAGCTGCTCATATATGCAAATGACCTGGCCGCTACGCAGCTGGAACTTCAACACCAACTAGGCACCCTCCTGACGCATTTCTGACTCCACAGGCCTTGTAATAAGCATGAGTAAAATGAAGATGATAGTTTTTGGCCCGGACACAGTGAGCAAGTTCCACTTCAAGGAGGAATGGATTGAGCACACGGAGAAATATAAACACCTAGGATACACTGTTGATTGACGTCTCCTATGGAAAACCAGAGTAGAGGAGTGCATTGCATCAGCAGTAAGGGCCAGCACACATCTTCAATCGGATTGCTGCAAAGCCAACATACATAAGGTGGGGTGTCAAACACACTTATTATATGACAAAGGTAACAATGGTGGCCTTGTATGGAGTAGAAAGATAAAGTCCAAACCATGTGGGACAAGCTTGAGCAATCAACAAGTGCTTCATCTCAGCAGAATTTGGGGTCTACAGGCTTTATACCTGATTGTGGTTCTTGAATAAAGATTCTCACTTGGAGATGTTTACATGCAAAATGCTCTCTACAGCCAGAAACTTGCAGACGTAGCAATTGCTGAATCGCAACACATGGCTGAAGCGGCACACTCTCAAGGTATGGATGGCCACCCTAGGCCACGACCTTTCCATATTGATAACAGAATTGATTAAGCAACTTAAGTTTTGGACATGGCAATCCCTCCAACGATGGTGTGAGACCAATGTCCTTTTCATGTGAACACCATTAATCCCATGTGACTTAGACCTTTGCTGCCATGCAATATTTGCCTCTACCCCATATGTTACAAAGAAGTCAAGGACATAGAGCATATGGTCAACATGTGCCCAACCTATGCTCTACTATACCAGCCATGGTCCCCTGAGGTGCAGATCTACACGTAATCCTAGAAGGTGAACTTTGGGCCAAAGAAATCTGTAAATTTCTATGAGATCAAGCACCAATCACATAATAGTTGAGTAAGAGTGACTACACTTCTCACAACGACTAAGTGAGGATCACATTGAGGTTCAAACCCAAGATGCTACAGGAGGTATGGCAGGCAGATTGGTTAAGCCCAAGGTGGGGATAGAAGGCTTAGTGGTAGGAGCCTTAGAGGTGTGAAATTAAAAGTTTTCGAATAATAAATAAAGGAAATATTTATTTAAATGTGATCATGACTTTTAACAAAAATTTGCTAAAATATGGAAATGGAATACAAAAATATGCATATTTATTAGCCCAAAAACCCTAACTTATATATAGAAGTGAGTGGTCCAGATTGAAACTAATTCGACAGTTATCCAAATCCCACTATGCTAATATTAATATATGACATTGTAGATATACACTTAAACCTTATATCATCCCTTTATCTTGGAATGATGGAAAATAATCAGGGTTTTGTACATTAGGAGGAAGCATTGGTAGATCTGAATGTGGTGTTAGTTGTTTATAATCCCTGTATACAAAGTGTTTCAACCATTATATATCCACAATTGTTGGAGGTAGTTTGTTGGATGTCATATTAAACTTTATAAATTTGCGATCCAACTTGCCACAACATTCGATATAATCCCCTTCCAATTGACAGTTGGACGGATTGGAAGAGGGAATAGAGGAATAAAATGGAAATATAAGAGGAAGTAATGGAGAGATAAAAGTGATGGAAACGAAGGTAGAAATATATAGATGAAAATGAACAAAAGTGAAATAGATAGAAAAAATATAAAGAAGTATAAGATAAGGGGGAAACATCTCAAAGTGTTGCAAATGTGGTATAAAAAATTATCTGTTGGTTAGTCCTTTTGGATATTATTTCCTTATTACCACAATAGTAGGATACTTGAACCTTTATCAATTTTTTTTGTTTAAGTGTTAATAAACTTGATTTAGCATCTGTACTTAGCCAAATGAACATAAGGTAAGAACTTCTATGTGTTTCTTATTGAGCATATTTGGCTTGGCTCTTAGTTTTCTTTTGCTTTGTTCTACACTAGTGTGATAAAACCTTTGTGTATTGAGACTAGTCTCTCAATATTGCCAGATAATAGTTTACCATATTTGCTAAACACCTTCGCTATCATGCTTTTTGTATTAGTTTTGTATGGTTCCAATTGCTATTTATATCCCTTTACCCCTTTTGAGGAATGCATACTTTGGGTTTTCACCCCTAGTCTCCCTTAGTACCAAGAGTTAATTTCTAGGACAATTATGAAACATATTAAATATGGAATGATGCTAGATTTTAAATTTGGACATGGAACCAACACCATTGTATTCAAGATAATCTCTATATTCTTTAAATATGCCAAATTAGTAGATCTATACACTTTCCATAGGGGGTTCCAAATATATAGTAGGGAATAGTGGGTAGGTTAGGTATGGTTGACTAATTTGAGGTATAATCTAACTCCCACTTGTGTGCTTGTCTTTGTTTTGCATTTGGATTGGATCAAAACCTAAGTTTCACACCATGTTAGCTGATATAGTATCCATGTCCTCGTGTTAAGCCATTAATATGCTAAAATAGCACTAGACTGTGTTTGGCTTTGTTTTACATGTTGGTTCTGGCAATGAGATGTTGGATGCTCTAGGACTATTCTAACACCGCACTATACTCTTGTCCTTTCTCTCCTTAGGCAGAATGCTCAAAATTCATTCCATGCTTTGGTTCCTTCATTCCTTAGCTGTAAGCTTGGGAGTTTGGAACCGTTCCTTCGTTCAGTGGCCCAAGGCCCTGAACCTCGGGTTCCGCACCACTGTCCTTTGGACACGTGGCATGTGACACGTGGCATCTGTCATGTGGCACAAAGAGGGTTTAGGTTCCACTTCGTGGTGTTATCCTATGGTAAATCACCATAGGATAAAGGGTCAAAACCACAATCAAGTCCAAGACTGACTCTGAGACCGAGTTCGAAACTGAGTCCGAGATCGAGTCCAAGGCCGACTTTGAGACCAAGTTCGAGACCGAGTTTGAGACAAAGTTCAAGACCAAGTCCAAGATCCGAGATTAGGTCTGAGACTGAGTTTGAGATTGAATCCGAGACAGAGTCCAAGGTTGGGTCTAAGATTGAGTTCGAGATCGAGTTTAAAATTGAGTTCGAGGTCAAGTTCGAGATCAAGTTTGAAATCAAGTCCGAAACCGACTTCGAATACTAATATAGGTCATGGGGTGAAAGCCCAAAGCATATGTTTCCCAAAGGGGGGAGGGGGTCCAAAAGTATAGTAGGGATGATGAGGTTTAGGAATTAGTCTTGAAATAACTCTCTATTGGTGCTTCTAAACTGATTTGAAGTTGAGACTGAGGCTTAGGGGCTTTGGGTGGGAGTGAGCATGGACTCGGGTGGTGCCAGAAGGGCCACTTAAAGAAGTGTTTAAAAGTAAATCCCACTCCCGAAAGGGAAACCAACTGTAGTGCTCCTAACTCATGTAAAGTGGTGCCCCACTTGAGTACCTTGTGACTCATTGGTCCTTACCCCTTCCTAGGGGCTTGGGCCTTCCCTTCGGGATGGAAGTAGGGGAGTAGAGACACTCATACCGGGCCATTAAACCATGGTGTTTCCCCCCAGTGCCCCAAAGCAAGTGTTGCACTAAGGCTTAGAATTTAGAGGATCCTATAATCAAGTCTTATTGTACCAAAGGATGTTAAGAAGGCTTGGTGTGTTTGGCTGCTTGTGCCTGCTGAGAATGTAGTTGAACCTTAAGTTCAGTCTAACCTGGGGAGGGGGATTGGGAGAGATTTGGGAATCTATAAATGGATGGCTAACACTCCATTACTCGTGCAATGAGTAGCTGAAACCAAGTAAAACCAAGTAGGAGCTAGTATAATAGGCAGGAACCTTGGCGAGGGAATTTAATTAAGGCCAAGACAGTATTGGTTGAATAGACAAGATAAGCTAGCAAATTGGAAAGGAAAAATTTGTGGCTTACAATTTGGTATCAAAGCTTTTTCCTCAGTTATAGTGAAGGATAGAGGTAGATTGCTGGGAGATGGCAAAGGTAGAGCATAAAAGAACCAATGTGGAGACAAAACCTCCTCTAGAGCTAGAGCCTCCAGTCAAACAACAAGTTATGGATGAGGAATCCTTGCATGAGAAGGACTCTAGTGTGGAAACTTTTAAACAAGAGTCTGGTGGTGAGGTTCAGTTGTCCAAGGTTTGATGGGACGTTCTAGAAGGACAACTGGCACAAACCAATACCCTGCTCAAGACTCTCACACGCAAGCTAAAGCGTGACGAGAAGTGGAAGAAAAAGCAAA